CGAGTCGTAGGGAGTAGTATTTTACTACTCCAACCAACCGGCCAGCACCTGCTGGCTGCTCAGTCCGCGCGCGGGTCGCGGATCGCGCTCGATTTGGACACTTCACTAGCACTGGTCGTACATGACTGCAGTCTTCTGAAGTTTTGTACACGGCGGTGACTTTTCCTGATGTTCTCCTTTCTTCTTTCACTGTCAAGCTCAGTTTGTTTCTGTTCGACAAGGCACAGTTGAAGTAGATGGTTCTTAGTCTCATGTAGCCAACATGTCAGTGAATCTGATCAGTGATTCACTGTCCAGAAGAGGGACAAAGAACTGGACGTGCCAGGAATGTCGATTCGTTTCGATGAAGAAAAGGAGAAAAGCGAAATTCGATGCGCTTTGCACGAAATGTCACGATCGTTTGAGCGCTTTCCTGAGGTTTCTTTGTCGGAGGAATCAGTGGAACTGCCCTGTTGAAGGACATTGTGTTGTGAAGAACTCGAAGTCGGATGGACGCTGAACATGTAACGTGCCCAAGCGAAAACTCTAACGTAAATATTCAGGTCGAACATTCGCTTGGAAAAGCAAATAGCAACTGCAGCTATTGTCCTCTTCTGTACGAAATCCTGCTATTGTACAGCTATACATGTAAACTTTTGATGAAGGAAAACTGCTAATCAATACTGGGAGTTAAGTTGCTAGTCAATTGTAAAACGATGTAGCAGTGACTGCTATGCAAAAAAATCAAATAATTTAAATAAAAATCGATCCCTGCTCTCCCGTCATTAGTCGCAACCAGGGAGTCGTGCTTTTACGACTCCCTGGTCGCAACGCGCTCTCTCAAGATGTCGACCGGATATCTGTCGTGCTCTGGCACACCACCGCAAGCCCTGTGTCCTAGCTGCGTTGCTACGTCGTGCAGCTAGGGTTGGTGTTAGCACATGGCCAACTCCTGTGGAACCGTTCTCTGCCAGCGCTGAAGTCGACATTGCACTGCTGCATACTTACTGGAGATTGGTCTAGGGATCTCTGGCAAGCAGTTCTCCTACCTGTTGTTACATTCCCCGAGAAGCTGCAGGTCATAGCTGGTATGCTAATGGAAGGCACTAGCTTGGAAGAAAGTGTCCTGGCAAGCGGTATCTCAAGTATCGTCGGGGAAATGTCTTCCAAAAGTGGACCATCAAGTGTTGCAAACTCGATACAGCTGTAAGCCAAGTAGCACTTGTCATGGTACTTTCAGAGCGTGCCAAGCTTGGAGGCCCAGATCTTGTTCGCTCCATCGCCTCCTGTATGGAGAGCGTCTTGAAGATTTCCCTCTTTGATCAGCATTCTCTGGTCATGCCAATTTTATTCCTTATCGCTGGGGGTATTACTGTACTTCTCACCTCTTTCCTATCATAGTACTGTTTAATTTAAAAGAAACAAAAGTCCATCTTTGTGTGCGTATATGTGCGTGAGTGTGATTGGGACGTGCTAGAAAATTGAAGAAATGTGAAAGAAAAAATGAAAGCAGGAGATTATTTTCTCCATGCTAATACCGTGTATACACAAGTCGGTAGGAGGATTGAACAATAATAATTATTATAGTTGTGATGGCGTCCTGTGACTGATCCACTCAGTCTGAGCACAACACGGGTGCCCTCTTCGCCTTGGTCGATGTACATGATATTCAAAAGGTTCACCATGGGTATGTCCTTGTAAGACATCCAGAGAGACAGGCAATGCATTAGACTGTGAGGCATTATGGATTTCTGCTCTCTACTTGGCGTCGGTCAACGACGTAGTGCTCAGTCGCGCATCCCTTCCACAGCTTCTTCCCCCTCCACCATTCTCACTAGTCACTACCCCCTCTGCCCGTGCTCCCCCATCTGCAAGTGGTGCACCAGCCATTGCCGGGCTTCATTATCGACGCAAAGAGTGGTTCTCGAAAATTCTGCCTGCTCTGCGTGGATGGGGACAGAACGTTCTTTTTCTCGGACAGAGCAACATGGGCAAGAGCTTCTTCTTGAAAAAACTATTGGACCAGGTTCGTCCCGAACACTTGCTGGTGATCTCCAACACCTCTGCAGAACAGTATCGGCGGGAAGTTATGAAGAGCTTGTATTGTATTGTATTGTATTATTTTACTTGGGCATTCCCAACAGACCCTAAGGTCTTCTTACAGGGTGCCCAAGATTAATGAAATTGTTAAGCTCCTGGCGAAATGAATTGGGGATATGATTTGTCCGAAGGGATTCGGGCACTACAGTACCATGCCCGATTCCATAGCCCGCATAGGCATAGGCATAGGCATAAAGGAGATGGAAGTGCAGCCGCACTCCTACGTGATCATCGATGATATTCGAGTGATGGGCCTCAAGCATGGTAATCAGCGCTAGTGCCTCTACAGGTTTTTCACCATGTACAGCCATCATTACAAGCTGAACGTGTTCTTCCTTTCCCAGAGCTTCGACAACATCAAGGACATGAACATCAACGCAAACGTTCTCTACCTGTTCCGCTTCACCGACAACAGCAACATCAAGCGCGAAAGAGCGAGAGACGCCACAACCTTGAAACACTGGTCTGGAGAGACTATAGTGTCCTAGTGAACGAAACCAATCGCATTTACCTGTCCAGATATTCGTTCGAAAACATAACCATTCAGGCGATCGGACTCACGCCTAACGTACCTGTGTTTACAAGTTTCCGTGCCAAGTTGCACTCGATCGCACAAACACCGTAGTTAAAGGGGAAGTTAAGGCAAAAATTAAAATTTCACCAGTTGTAGTCTTCGGGGTGCTGAGTCGAATGGTCTTATATATATATATTTATTTCACTCAACTCGTGGTTCATGACCAATTGGCACGCAAAGTGCGAGAGAGGGGTGATAGCCAACCACGGCAAGAAAAGAAAAGAAAAGAATATAGAAAAAGAGAAGAAAGAAGGATAGACAAGAATACAGCAATGAGATCCTATCGTACTACATTATGCGTCTTGGTCCGAGAAAGCTGAGACGCTCCCTTCCTACTTGAATCCCAATCGAACTCGCGCACTTCCACCGAAACTGGGTGACTGCGCCCTACTAGATGGGGATTTGTATGCAAAATGTCACTAAAAGCGCCATTTCGTTCTTATAAAAGCACGGATGACCGCGATTGGGCCATATGTTGTAGTCTTTTGGACGCTGAGTCGACTGGTTTTGGTCCGAAAAGGCTGCGATGCAGCATTCCTCCTTTATTCCCAATCGAACATGGTTGAACAAGTGGTCACGTGCTCCTGGGTGCCCAAATCACCTGGTCACCACGCCAGCAGGTGACAACTGTTACTTTCACACCAAGGTTCAACTCGAGTGACAGGACTGCACCCAAAAATGGTCAAACAGGCTAGTATTAGTAAGTTGTACCCTGCAGGCACGGTGACCAGGTGACTGGCGTACGCAGGAGCACGTGACCGCTTGTTCAACCATGTTCGATTGGGAATAAAGGAGGAACGCTGCATCGCAGCCTTTTAGGACCAAAACCAGTCGACTCAGCGTCCAAAAGACTACAACATATGGGCCAATCGCGGTCATCCGTGCTTTTATAAGAACGAAATGGCGCTTTTAGTGACATTTTGCATACAAATCCCCATCTAGTAGGGCGCAGTCACCCAGTTTCGGTGGAAGTGCGCCAGTTCGATTGGGATTCAAGTAGGAAGGGAGCGTCTCAGCTTTCTCGGACCACGACCATTCGACTCAGCACCCCGAAGACTACAACTGGTGAAATTTTAATTTTTGCCTTCGAGGCGCAGGTCATGATCCCCGATCACTTTATGCACGGGATACAGAAGGTCATGACCAACGACAGGGATTTCGTGCTCAGCGTGTTGAAGAACAACAATCGGTCGATTGGCAAAGTGCTGGACATACTAGTAACGTTACTTCGAGGAAATTCTCTATAAAGATATAGAAGGTCGAGGAGCGACAGCAACAACAATGTTACTGTCAACAATGAACATTCCTTTGAGCAATACGGATGTGGAAGCACAGCTGAAGGATCGCCCTGGCTTCGTGAGTGTGTTCAGCTATGACTTGCTACCTAGTTTGAGGCATCTTGAGTTCTGTGTTGTAAACACCGACAATGTACTACCCCACTACGACCTGCCCGAAGCCTGGTGGACATCATCATGATCATTGGCTCCCGGTGTGCAGAGAAGCCGCTCGCGTGCTAGTCTTCGACAGCTTCGGACGCACGTTGCGTCAGATGTCGTTGGACTAAACCGGGCCGGATCTGGAACGCTGCTTTCTGGATGCTTTTTAAAATACACGCCGGAGTGTACCCTCTACACTAACACTCAAGTGCTTCAACACCCCAGCCTTGCCGTTTGCGGACATTATCATTGACATAATGCTATTCTTGTCGGTCGACTCTTCTCCCAGCGTGGCATCGATGCAACTGACTAAAAGCCATCTCCAGTGTCTTCACAGACAGTACTCTGGACACCGATTGGAGGATTGGCGGGTGGCGGTGATAAACCCGAAAAGTGGACGGAACACCTTGCGCTAGCGCTGTGCAGTGGGATGCACACTGACTCCGCAACGATCGAAAAATGACGTCACGTCAAGATTCACTCATGCACGTGACAGGTACATGACAGCCTGTCACTCTGACGCAATTTACTCGATTTGCTGTGTGACTGATGGCATGCCATAAGCACCCTTTTCGCATATGACGGCTCATTATAGCGTTTGCTGTCGAAAGGAGGTTCTGATTAGCTGTGGGCTAGCTCACTTCAGCTACTCTATTGTGTTTCCCATTATCATAAATTCCAGAGTGTTGCACGATCCTGATTTTCGTGGGAATGGAGACAAACTTCAAACCTTCCAGAAGGGTCTGATTGCCTGTGGGCTAGCTCACTTTAGCCACCCTATTGTGTATCCCCTTTCTCCTAGATGCCAAGTGTTGCATCATACCGTGGAGCACCGTGCATGGTACCAATGTTTACCAAACTGAACCCGTAAGGAATGCGTCCCGAACCCGTCCGCAACACGTAGCATATTGCCTCATGGAAGGCCGTTCGGAGGTCTCCTTATAATCCTATGGCGGGCACTGATTCATCCAAGTAAGCGAAGTGCTTTCCAAGAAGCAACGACGTGAAACGTCGACTTAACGGAGCCAAAGGTTCTCCTTCAGCTAAGCGTACAGACTCCACTAGGTTTATCCTCCTGCAGCGTGTAGCTCGCGGTTTCCTCAAGTCCTTTAAGGCATTTTTAGGACCTGATAGTGTAGACTTTCTTCTAGCTCTCTCAGATCTCTTGAAAGACATTGAGTCTGTGGTAGTTAGAGAATTGGAGAGCCAACAGTTTAAACTCGTTATTGTGGTGAATGTAGAAGTTGAAAAATTCGACCCCGCAACTGAACGAATAGTCACTGATTCTCCGCACTTCAGGAGCAGTCCGATTACTGTGCTGGAACCTGGCGAGGTGCGCCGTTTGCTCCTCTCGTCATTTGACGGGCTAGCGCGAAACCTTGATGCGTGTTTGAGCAATGGATCAGGGTGGACAGTGAAACAGGTCCATAGTGTTCAGCTGGACATTGGCCGATATGAGGCCCTGACTGGAAGTTCCTACCTTGCTCTACCATCGAAAATTGCCAGATCTAAGGCAGTTATTGATGTCCGAAACGATGGTGACAATCAATGCCTGAAATGGGCGATCCTCTCGGCCTTGCACCCCCTGGAGAACAACCCGCAGCGTGTCGAAAGATATGCCGAACATGCACAGAGTCTGGACTTGATCAAAGTGCGTTTTCCTGCCGACATTGGTGATGACAGAAAGGTACGTGAGCGTGATATCGTGGGTGGAGATTGCATACAAGTAGTATTATACGACATAATACATTGTATAGATGAATACTAATCATATGCTAGAGCGTGTTGAAAAACACGAACGCAGAAAAGCAAGCAGTGGTGGAGATTATAATTATACAAGTACTGCTAGAGTTATGGATGAATACTAACCAGGCACACATGTACATGTGGGTAATGGATGCACATGTTACACACAGTTCACACAAGAGCTCATCGAACTCATCAGCGCAGTCGTCTTCGTCATCCTCCACCTTCGGTTATGCGACGGTTCACAGAATCCAATTTCACCGTGTGACGTTTCACAGATTCCAAACTCACAGAATGACACTTCACAGAGTGCTAGTCTCACAGAATGCACTATTCACCGACACCCAATTCAACGAAAACCCAGTTCACAGACTGACTTATTCACAGACAGCCCCATTGCGTTACAACCAGCTAACACACACACACACACACACACACACACACACACACACACAAACACTTACAAAAGCCACGTGTGCTCTGGCAGCTTGGATACAGATCTCGCATCACCGTAGAACGACTACGCGTATACGCCCGCTTGCACGCAGCTTCAACGTGAGTGGATTGACGCAGTGATCCGGCTTTATTGACTTTTCCAAACTGTTCGAAAGGCACAGACATGGGCTTATATGCGCGGAACTACTGTATGCACACCACACATTTCTTCGCGAAACCCTCGAGCAGTTGATCGAGTTCCTTCTCTTCGATGTCAAGTGTTACATCAGTGCCCTCCAATGGCCTCAGGTGAATATGATCAGCCTCTTCGGTATAGACTTGCGGGATGGCTGCCAGCAGACATTTGAACTTTCCTGCAGTTCTCATGACAGTGACGGTCGAGGGACACACTAAAACTTGAAAGGATTTGTCCAGCACGAAGGCTTTCGCCCCACCATCTCACTTCCTCGCACATATATCGCGGTGACAAATTTCCTGTCACCGCCAGTCTCGCCGTCAGATGTCCGACAGGATTGGGGGAAGAAATTCGTCCCAATACGCGTCACATTCGCACATGTCACGGCACGTGACTGTTGACGAGCACTTCAGAGGTGCTCGTACAACTAAGTTACTTGGTCGAGCGACATCTCCATCTCCACCCTGGTCTGCTCAAACCTATCTTGCCGAGCCGTTGCAGTGGCGGAGAAAGCAGGTAGAGCGAATTTTGTATGATGAAACCTGGCTCCTGGTGAAAGGCGACTGTGAGTGCGTCCAGCAACCTTGTGCTGCACTTGAGCACCTTTCTCAACGCCATCGGTAATAATAGTGAAGGTATCCATGGCTTGAAAATGGAGTGACAACGATTTACACTAGGTAAAAGGAAGAAGAAGATTCAGGTGTTGGAGGATAAACCTAGTGGAGTCTTTACGGGCGAGAGGACCGCCCATTTCAGGCATTGATTGTCACCATCGTTTCGGACATTAATAACTGCCTTAGAGCTGGCAATGTTCGATGGTAGAGCAAGGTAGGAACTTCCATTGGCTCTCCAATTCTCTAACTACTACAGACTCAATGTCTTTCAAGAGATCTGAGAGAGCTAGAAGAAAGTCTACACTATCAGGTCCTAAAAATGCCTTAAAGGACTTGAGGAAACCGCGAGATACACGCTGCAGGAGGATAAACCTAGTGGAGTCGGTGCGTTTAGCTGAAGGAGAACCTTTGGCTCCGTCAAGTCGACGTTTCATGTTGCTTCTAGGAAAGCACTTCGCTTACTTGGATGGATCAGTGCCCGCCATAGGATTATAAGGAGACCTTAGAACGACCTTGCATGAGGTAATATGCTACGTGTTGCGGACGGGTTCGGGACGCATTCCTTACGGGTTCAGTTTGGTAAACATTAGAGAGGTTCCGGGGTACGATTTTCCGTGCCAAAATCCGTGTGGGCGCTACGGATTTTTTCCAGGCGTGCTCCATACGATTTTTCGGCACGGAGAATCCGTGTGGACTGGCTTTCACACGAACCATGTTTCGTATGGAGATTTTGCGTCATCGGGTGCAGAAAGATTTTCGCGTACAAATTTGGTACGAGAAACATCGATTTTCCGCGGGAAGTTTTGATTTCGGTACAAATTTTCGAAATAAAAAGGCATGGCGCGGGAATGTGACGTGCTTGCGATCGTAACCTAGGCAATGACGGCAAACACATAAGTTCCGTACTCCGGAACATTTCACTGCTCGAAAACGACGTATAAAAAATCCGTAGCGCCTCTACGGATTTTGGCACGAAAAATCGTACTCCGGAACCTCCCTATTGGTACCATGCACGGTGCTCCACGGTATAATGCAACACTTTGGCATCTAGGAGAAAGGGGATACACAATAGGGTGGCTAAAGTGAGCTAGCCCACAGACAATCAGAACCTTCTGGAAGGTTTGAAGTTTGTCTCCATTCCTACGAAAATCAAGATAGTGCAACACTCTGAAATTTATGATAATGGGATACACAATAGAGTAGCTGAAGTGAGCTAGCCCACAGATAATCAGAATCTTTAACTCACTTGAAACCAATACTTAAAGTGTAATGTGAAGACCGTCTATTCGGAAAAAGATAAACAAAAAGAAAAAAAGAATGATAAAAAGCCGGACATAAAAGAGCGGAGATTGACTGAGCTAGCCCATGATATTGAAATAAAAATAAAATCAGTCAATACTACTACTGAGAACGGTTTTATTCACAACATCATGAAGTATTAAAGAGGCAAAGCAAAAAGACAACCCAATTTCGGAAATAAATAGAACACTCAATAGAAATATAAAATTGAACGCAAAAGCTTCACAAGAAATTATTACGATGTAGTGGTTGCGACTTCGGCGATGATTTGTAAGAAAGGGTTTGCTCCACACAGCGCGAGCTCCAGTGTGGGGAGCAAACCCTTTCTTTTACAAGTAAGAAATTATTACCTAATAAAAATGTCTACCGGCATGCAAAGGCGAACGGTCACGCCTCTGCCCCTGTCAGCGCTGCAGTGTCAGTAGAGCCGGCGGCAATAAGCCGCAAAGGGGCTCCTGACCCTGCGGCGAGTGTCAATACTACTACTACTACTACTACTACTACTACTACTACTAGCCAATGATGTTTAAAAACTTACCGGTATGTGGATTGCGAGATGTGGTAAGTGGTGAAAGCGTGCGTTTTTTTCTTTTTTAAATTTTTTTTATTGAAAAACCACAAACCTTCAGACGTGTGAATGTGCACATGATATACAGTGTACATACGTATATATCAAGAAGGCAGCACAGAAACGGCAGTGGTGGTGAGGCCTGGGCAGCTCGTCCCACCGTGGGTCTCGGAGTCAACACTGGGCAGACGCACCAGGAGGGGGGGAGGGGGGGGGGGGGTGTGGTAGCTTAGGAGATAAGGGATGGAGCCAGCGTCATCATATTCATAGTATGTAATGCATATGCAGAAGTAATATGTAAATCTTAAAACAATAGTGCGGTGGACCTGCACAGAGGAAAGGCATCATGGACATGATCTACATGTACGTGTATAACTTATAAGTGAGCTAGGTAGGCATGGGCGGGTAATGCTAGTTATTTGCTGAGATAATGCTAAAGGCAATGCTCAAAATATGAGGATATAATGCCACTTAAAATGCTCACACTACTCCATAATGCCAGTTTGAAAGTTGGAAAAGTCGATTTAAGAAGGCCGTCTTGGATCAAGGCCAACGCATAGAAGAAAAAAAATTAAACAGCAGTGAGGAAGCTTCCACTGACAATCCACTGAGAAGGTTGATTTGCAACGTCAAGTCTCGGGACGAAGCCGGAAGGGTTCAGGTGCACGATTTTCGGAACTGGACCTAGCCAGCTTCATGCATGACCCCGTTGTCGACCGGCAATTATGTTTGTAATGCCAATTTTGCATGCGAAGTGGTGTTATAATGCCAGCATTATGCCACCTGGAAAAAGGGACTATAATGCCAGCCATAATGCTAGCATTACCCGCCCATGCCTAGAGCTAGGGCACATCATACACACACATATGCGCATGTTCAAATAGGAGATCAACCTGATAGGCGTTCACCGGCGTTGGGTAATCCTGAAATAAAGATATTAATATTATTAAAGAGATTATTATCGTACGCTCACATAAACACCACATACCAACACACACACACACACCTTGTACAAAGTGTTTTAAAACGGACATGTGTGTGTGTGTGTGTGTATGTGTGTGTGCGTGTGTGTGTGTGTGTCTGTGTCTTTGCCTTTCGAACAGTATGGAAAATTCCATTCTCCCGCTCACTGTGTGCAAAGCGCGCACGTCGAAGCTGCGTGCAAGCGGGCGTAGTCGTTCTACGGTGATACGAGATCTGTGCCCAAGCTGCCAGAGGACACGTGGCTTTTGTAAGTGTGTGTGTATGTGTGTGTGTGTGTGTGTGTGTGCGTGTGTGTGTGTGTGTGTGTGTGTGTGTGTGTGTTATGATTCGTTTTCAAGATACCTGTTTCAAGTACACTGTACATCTTTGGCCTACGTGCATTTTTTTACATCTGTTCAACTTGAGTGCGAAGTACTTGATAAGTAGTTTGTGTTACAAAAATTCCTGGTTACACAGAATGCTCGTGACACATCTATTAATTTTGTTTTTTGGTGTGTGTGTGTGCGTGTGGTGTGGTGTGCATATGTGTTTCAACTAGACACGGGACAAGCTGGTACGGCAGAGATAGCAATTGGGAAGTCCATACAAGTAGCACTTGGAACCATGGAGCTGATCGTGTGTCTCAACGCACTTGTACATAGCTGGTTGTGACGCAGCCATGCGAACTTTTTTACTAATATTTTTTCTCATATACCGGTATACATGATTGTATTATAATATTTAAACAATCGACGAGGAGACAATAGTCGTAAAATGGCAAAATAAGATAAATTGTGCACTCATAACAACAGCAAAAATGAAGAAAGTCAAGTTCCATAACGTTTTCTTCTGACTGTCATCAGTGGAACGCCGTCACATAAAAATGTAATAACTAAAACACACACTTATATACATGTACATGTAGCTAATATGGTTTCAGGTAGAAATACAGCAGCTAACAAGTACAAAAAGCAATTGCAGGTGTTGGAAGCTGTGTATATTCGTACTCGTGACCCTGTGCTATGTAAACAGAAAGAAAACGTTGTATCACTCACACTCTTCAAGTAATACACACGCACCATTACATTCATTCACACAGTATCACATTCATCTGCCACTACCTTTCTCACATACACTATATTCACACATTGCAAAGGTGCAAACTTCGCTTTTTGTACTTGTTAGCTGCTGTATTTCTACCTGAAACCATATTAGCTACATGTATATAAGTGTGTGTTTTAGTTATTACATTTTTATGTGACGGCGTTCCACTGATGACAGTCAGAAGAAAACGTTATGGAACTTGACTTTCTTCATTTTTGCTGTTGTTATGAGTGCACAATTTATCTTATTTATTGCCGTATTATAATATACTTTTCTTTTTTTCCTTTTTTCACTCGAAGCCATATACATAATACAATTACTCAATTCCAATGATTTGTTTCATTAGGATGAAGACAAAATGGCACAAAACTGACAAGGAGTACTGAGACATTCGGCGACCTGACACCTACAGTATAAGATCTGGTTACGTTGGTGGAGAGTTTGTCATAACTCGTAACATTTTGTCCTTTTCCTTTCTTCATCCTAACTATATTGGCTCACCATCCGAGTTCTAATTTGTTTCATTACGATTCATTCATGAAATAATACGTGAACAATATGACCTACGTGTGTGTGTGAATGGTAATGGGGATGGAGGTACTATTTTTAGCAGGCGCTACATCGTGTTGAAAAAACACGAGCACGAGAAATAGCGCGCTAAAGTAGTAAAAGTTGATGTATGGATAAATACTAAGAAGATGTTTACACTGTGCGTCCAGGTATTATTTAAAAGGAAGAAGAGGCTTCAGGTGTTTATCGGAGGAGTGATAATTATTATTATTATTATGAAATGACCCAAAGGCAATGTGCCTATCGAGGGGTTCATTTGATTGAAAGAACAGTAGATGTAGATGTATGTACAAAGAGAAGTAGGGATTGATGAGGAGAGAAATGGGGAAAATCAACTGCAAGGTGGCGGAATTCCGTTGATTGCATAAGCATAGTCAGCTGTAAATTTCCTGAGGGCAGCTTTGAACTTATAGAGCGAGGCTTCCGATGTTAGACTGGGGGGTAAACAGTTCCATAGAATAGCAGTTCGGAACATGAAGAGAGACTTAGACAATGATTTAAATTTGGGAAGAATGATTTTATTTGGTCGTCGCTCACTATTCGTAATCTTGAAATGGAAATCAGCAAGGTAATCACGATGATGGAAAACATATCTGTGAAAAGTAGTGAGACTGATGATTTGACGACGATAGGCTAGTGACTCTAGGGAGCATTTAGAATTTAAGACAGATTTGGAAGAAGTGTAATCAATAATATTATGTGTTGTATCATCTGTATCATGCCTGTCATGATTGTCTGAAGGTCTTGTCTGTGTTGTGGTTGACTTCACTTTTTAGTACTATTGACTGGCCTTTCGTACAATACCTATTGATGTCTAGAGACATACTGTCTAGCCTTCCCCTAGTGCTCTCATTGATACACTATCCAGCTGTCCAGCGGCTCTCCTTCCACCGCCCTCTATCTGCTATACTCTTCTTCACACTCTATAAGTACGTGTCTTCTTTACAATAAAATCAGTTTAGTGACTGACGAGTTCGAGATCACAACAATAATTATGGTCCAGAGGAGAAGAGCACGGCCTTTTATGCACCACAAAAGACGGGTCAAGCGAACATGTCAGGACAACTCAAATGGGTTGTGGTCAGTCATACACACACACACACACACACACACACACACACACACACACACACACACACACACACACACACACACACACACACACACACACACACACACACACACACACACACACACACACACACACACACACACACACACACACACACACACACACACACACACACACACACACACACACACACACACACACACACACACACACACACACACACACACACACACACACACACACACACACACACACACACACACACACACACACACACACACACACACACACACACACACACACACACACACACACACACACACACACACACACACACACACACACACACACACACACACACACACACACACACACACACACACACACACACACACACACACACACACACACACACACACACACACACACACACACACACACACACACACACACACACACACACACACACACACACACACACACACACACACACACACACACACACACACACACACACACACACACACACACACACACACACACACACACACACACACACACACACACACACACACACACACACACACACACACACACACACACACACACACACACACACACACACACACACACACACACACACACACACACACACACACACACACACACACACACACACACACACACACACACACACACACACACACACACACACACACACACACACACACACACACACACACACACACACACACACACACACACACACACACACATGTAGGGGTTGCTTCTTGCACGATGAAAACAAGTATTAGTTGGAACAAGAACTACTAGTACATGTATGTTCCAAGGGACAGTGCTAGCTCCTGCACCGTGCACGTGCAAATGTACATGTCCGGGATTGCCTATCGCACGATCACAGCAGCCAGCAACATAAACCATGGCCTCCCCAAAGGATGTGGTGACTCAGACATGCACAGGTGCGAGGGGTGTTTATGACAAGATCAACGTGCTAAAACAAGAACAGACAAACCCAAGAGAGTATTTTGATCCATGCACGCAAAGGTGCATGAGTTTCCTTATTACACTCATATTCCCACCAGACATGCATGCAGGACGAACCCATGCAACCACTCACCCCACCAGGGTCAAACTGGCCAGTTTCTTGCAAAAGTGTACTAGCAAGTGAGTTTCACGGTCCGGCAGACAGTGGCAGTGCATGATGAAAAACATGTTGGCCCTTCCACCACCACAATGGCTGGGGTCATCTGGAGGGGACCAAGCTAAAAAAAATACAACCTCAGTTACCTGGCCCACACGACCGCTGAACCACATACATGTACCGACACACGCCAGAGCTAAGAGAGCATAAGTTCGCATTTATTTTCTAAACGGAACGCATTTCGAAACGGTGTGTGGGGGGGGGGGGGTAGTGCCCTTTTCGAATAGAAAAATGACAGTTCGCCATTTTCTGGATGTGTACTACATGTACCGTTGTACATAGCAGACTCAGCGGAGGACGTTCAGGTTGGTTGTAACTCTGAGTTTCATGCCGCTAGGCAATCATGCGGATTTGTACCGTTGTACATGTATATCCTTTATATTAGACTTCTTTTTCCTTGGTGCAAGTCACACTCCATGTACATGTACATGTGAAGGGCTTCATTGCAAAACGAGATAAATCCATTTTGACCAATTTTCAGGAGGAGCGATTTTCTGTGATCAACAACTGGGTGGGTTTGGGTCAAATCTAACTTAGCAGATGAGAAGAGTAGGGTGATGTATGCAAATACAGGCTTTCTCAAAAATCAGGAGCCATCCATTTTCTCAAGCAAGGTGATTCTTCAATATTTTCGGGCAAAACCAGATATATTCGCTGGACTAATCAGTATTATGAGAGAAAATACAAGTGCAACGACTTCACTGAGGTCGGAACTCTGAAGGAGCTCAGCAGCAGCAGCACTGCCAGCAGCAGTGTCGTCCCTCCCTGACGAGCATACTGCCCTTTTCAGTTTCGAAAGCGAAAAAACAACAGCTACGAAGAAGATGATACAAAAAGAACGAAATGACAACGTCGATGCAGCTGCTGCAAAGCAACAACACGAAAACACTGTACTTTGAACTCTGACATCGACATTTTGCACAGATTCAGTCTAGTCGCGATGCTTGCCGCGTGCTGCGCCAGCACGTACTCGCTGGCTTGTCACACTCACACAGTCACAGGTCACGTTGGCCCGCTCGACTGGATATGTCGCACTTTGCTCGAAAACATCGGTGGTGTTTATCGCGTTTTGCAGTAGAACGTCAACTTCAACGTTGATTTTCAGTGGGATATGTCTCGTTTTGGAGAATTCTTTTTGGCCATCAGATGCAGTGATCCCTACTGATTCGATTGACACCGAAAACGCCATATGCATGAAATTGGCGTTTAGCGCGTTTTGCAATGAAGCCATTCATGTATATCCTTATTGACTTCCTTTTCCTTGGTGCAAGTCACACTCCATGTACACGTATATCCTTATTGACTTCTTTTTCCTTGGTGCAAGTCACACTCCATGTACATGTACTATTGTATGTTCTTCATTGAGTATTTCGCTCCTGCTCTTGTAGCAGTTGAGCACTCTTGCGTGGGGTAGTGCCTTTGCTGTTTGCGTTATGCAGAGCTCACTGACTTGTCAGTTTGAGCACTCTGGCAAGGTACGTTCGGGCCTGATTGGAAATTTTTATTTCCATTGCTATCAGGTTCGGCCTCATTTCCTCTGTGCTGCGCTGATGAGTTCAAAAAGAACGAAACAGCATGCTGTCCGCAGATTGAGTATCTCCTGCTCTTGTAGCAGTTGAGCACTCTTGCGTGGGGTAGTGCCTTTGCTGTTTGCGTTATGCAGAGCTCACTGACTTGTCAGTTTGAGCACTCTGGCAAGGTACGTTCGGGCCTGATTGGAAATTTTTATTTCCATTGCTATCAGGTTCGGCCTCATTTCCTCTGTGCTGCGCTGATGAGTTCAAAAAGAACGAAACAGCATGCTGTCCGCAGATTGAGTATTTCGCTCCTGCTCTTGTAGCAGTTGAGCACTCTTGCGTGGGGTAGTGCCTTTGCTGTTTGCGTTA